CTAATTAACAGAATGTTGAGGATAAAAATAATTGAGGATAAAAATGTAAAAATAAGCAAAAGTTAATAATATTCATTGTAATTAAAATATAATGCAATTAACAAAAATTGTAATGATAATATAATCACTTCGATTTTATTATATAGTCATTAAGTCGATTAAAAAAAACAACAAAATACCTTTAATCTTCAACATACATTAAGGATAAATAAATAATTGAGTAAACCTAGAAATAAATAAACACCCCTCACACTTATCCCATGTTTGACAATTATTATTTCAAAATTCTTTAATTCTCATATTTATTTTTAACTACATTTATACAATATATTGCATGTAACCCTAAAATTTTTTCCAACTTTTTAATCACGGACATTTTAAAAAATATTATTCAAAAAATTATTTTTTTAAAAATAATGACCATCAAACATGAACATATGTATGACAAACAAACCTGATACCCACGTGGTCCCGCCCCCGAATGAGGTGGAGATTACCCCGCTTAATCGAGTATTCGAGTCGTAGACGGGTAACAGGTGCTCCCCTACCGTTTAATTTTTTTTTTTTTAGAATTCAATACTTTAAATGGAAAATTTCACGAAATTTCATTAGATCTAATAGAAAATGACAATTAAAATTATTTGTCTCGATCTAATGAATGGGGACAATAAAATAAATTATCAATAAAAATAAATAAATGGGGTAGTAAATGGGACAAAGGCCCCGCCCCGCCTTAAATAGGTAACGAGTAGAGATGTCAATGGGCAAAGCCGGCTCGGCTTGTGGAGAAACGAGCCACGAGCTCACGAGCCGGCACGGCTCGTGGCTCGTCAATTTTTTTTTTTTTTAGCTTTTCTTAACTTTTTTATTTTATTTTTTTATTTTTGTGTTTTTTCACGAGCCCACGAGCTGCTCATGAAAAAACGAGTCGAGCCGGGCTCAACTTGCCTAGCGAGTCCGCCGCTCGGCTCGTGCTCTGGCTCGTCTTTTGACCAGCCCAAGCGACTCGCTGGCAACGAGCAGAGCCCACGAGTCCACGAGGCTCGATTGCCACCACTAGTAACGGGGTGGAAAATTGCTACATGGGCATAATGTATTTGATGCAGATTTTCATGAGAATAAATTTTGCCCTTGTTTAGACTTTACTTGTTTTAAAAAAAAAAATGATAAAATTTAAAAACTCATTTTCAACCACATTCTCTCATAAAATAATCTTACATGTAAACTCAAAATTTTTTTTTTTTTTATTTATAGTAAGAATACATTTTGAAATAGTAAATTGATGAAAAGTGCGCGGTTAAAAAATAAGAAAATTTTTTGGATTTACGTGTAATATTATTTTATTGAAGAATGTGTAGTTGAAAAAAAAGAGGAAAATATATTTTGAAAATAATGAGATCAAACAAGGACTTAATAAAGCCCAAACGGATGCTTTATGAAAATTGGTTTTTTTGAAAAATATATATGGTTTCGAAAAATAGGAAAAATTATAAATCCAAGTACAAAATTATTTTATTAGAACAATCTATATTTGAAAATGAATTTAGAAAAAAAATAAATTTTAGAGAAATCCAGGAACATAATATTCTTGCAATTAAATTGTAGATTAACTCAACCATTAGAATATAGATTATATGGGACAACTACAACTCAGATTCCGCATTATCAAGCTTCCTTTATCACTTGCAAGTTACAAGCAATTGCATGGTATTAAGAAAGAAAAATAAGTTAGAAATCTTATTTATTAGAAGCAAACATGCACTTGATGTCCCATAAGTTTTTCTTTATTCAAGCTCTCGTGCTCAGGCTGCAGGCTGCTGTTGTGTGATACAGTGTATATTTCCACCTCCCAATGCAATCTCTCGTGCACCTTCAACTCTCACAATCTGAATGGAAATAGAAAATGAGTTTAGGCGTTTAAGATAAAAGTACAGTATATATTTCACAGGCCAATGCCAAAAATTCAATACAAGTATCCCAGTAAGGTTTTCTATCTCAATAGATTGAAAAACATCAGGAAATTTTTACTCCAAAATATTTTATGCTTCACTCATTTTCAAATGCCAAAAATTCAATACAAGTATCCCAGTAAGGTTTTCTATCTCAATAGATTGAAAAACATCAGGAAATTTTTACTCCAAAATATTTTATGCTTCACTCGTTTTCAAACGTGATATTTCTTACCTCACGATCTGGAAAAGCCAAAGACAGCGTGCGGACAGCTTCATCGTCCCACTTCTGGTCCCCAAATTGAGGAGCAATAATTGCTCCATTGGCAATATAGAAGTTTATATATGAAGCAGCAAGCCTTGTACCAGGGAGCCTTGGTTTAGCCTCACCCTCCTGATATCAGCCAGAAAGGGAAATAAGACACGAGAGAGAGACAGGAAACTATGAGTTTTGAAAATAGTTCGTATCTGCATGCAATAACTTAATATTTAGTGCTACAACCAATTTATAAGCACTTATAAGCTTTACCAAACATGCACTTAACTTCTCTACGGGGTGTGCATATAGCTGTCTCAGGGGACTAAGATTTCATAATGACAGGATTTTTACAAGGTTCACAAGTCAGCAATGCAAGAATTTCTATATTTTTCCTCTTTCAACTTGCCACTGAAGGGTGCTAAGAGATTTTGATCCACCCACCAATTAGATTTCACTTACAGTTCCATTTTAAAAATGAAAAACCATGTCACTTTTATTTTGAAGATGAAAATGGTACCATCTGAAGGCATAATCTGTGGACTAATCTTATCCCAAGAGTAACAGCGTTTCTTGTACAATTTTAAATCATTATTTTGATGAAAAGTGAAAACAATGCTATTAAGTAGGATCCACTGTTTGTAAGCACTACCAAACATATTATGCCCTTGTTTGGTCCTCATTATTTTCAAAATACATTTTTCTCTTTCTTATTTTCAACTACACATTCAATAAAATAATATTATACGTAAGCCCAAATTTTTCTTATTTTTTAACCACACATTCTCTATCAAAATACTATTCCAAAATGTATTTTAGACAAAAAATTGGGCTCAAACAGGCGCTATAATTTATTTATAAGTAAATCTTTCAAGCTTAGTCAAACATGCACTAGCAATGGCAATCACCTGTTTCAATCCAGCAGCCTCCTCATCTCTCATATAAAGTGGACTGGGCACATGAAGTTTGATAATCTCTAGTTTTCTATTATTGGCATCTGTGGCACTGGAGAGAACCGAAAGTGCTTCAATAGAACGCTCGTACTGTGGGTCTGACTCATCATCAGTCCATGACAATAAAACCACACCAGGCCTTGCAAAACAACACATGTTGTCAATATGGCCATTAGTGTCATCATCGCCTGCAGAAGAACATCATGGAAAACTTTAAACGCCAAATTTAAGAGAAAATACAAGTGGATAATATCTAGGTGTAGTTAAAGCAAGAACCTCAAGTTAACCAAGGCGAGCAAGAAAGAACCTTAAAAATCACTTCTTCCCTTGCCTGACTTGAGCCAGGTTAAAAAACCGAAGGCCAAAGTAGTCCATTGAATCATAGCATATATTCAGAATTCTTGCATTGTTGAATTTCAAATATAACTAAGAAATTCTGAATCGAGTGCTTTCTTTAAACCATGCAAGTTTACATTCTAATCCTTTACAAACAGTACCATTACATTTAAAATATGAATCACGTGTAAAACTGAACTGGTGAAAATTTTAAAAACATTCATTCGTGTAGTCTGGCATTTTTTGACACACTAACAAATGGTGCGGAGTATAAGAAGTGACCAACTCTGTCTTCATACTCATTTTCAATCTCATTCCCCAAAATTGTGGAGGAACTATTTGGATTCAAAATATTAATGGAAAATGTTAGAGAGCAATTTTGTAAAAGGATTATTGGCACATTTCACTTTAACAAACTAATCAGATAGACAAGATGCCATGACAAAAAAAAAAAATTAGAAATAGACTACTTCAATCAAAAATCAAATGAAGGCAAATCTGTTCCTCAATTCAAAATCAACGGGTCTTAAATACAGGAGCCAATGCTCCTAGAATTTCAGCGACTAACTCGTTTTTAAATTTTTATGGCATGATTGGAATTTATATGTGATTTTCCTTGTGGAAAAATCTCACATGATAAAATCTATACCCCCCCCCCCCCCCCCCCCCCCCCCCCCCCCNCCCCCCCCCCCCCCCCCTCTTTTTCTACTCAAGCTTACCCATATTCTGAATTTTAAATTTACAAGAAAGAAGATCATAACCGTGTTAGCATGATTTTTCTTTCTTGAAAATTGAAGGTTTTTGCAGAAACCAGCTTCAATAAGACAATCCGGTTACTGAAGGTGTCAACCAAATTGATAAACACCAAGGTATTATTTTATAGAATTGGTTACCACCAACACCGAAACAAACACAGAATAAATAATACTGCTACGTGCAAATCATTTCGTGGTTGAACTACTTGGGGAGGTCACTAATCCCGAAATGCAGAAACTAGAACTAGAAAGACCGGACAAATACCAAATAATCCACGAGGCAGCCAAATAATCTTCTTGACCCCAAGATATGCTTTCAGCTCATCCTCAATTTGTTCTTTGGTTAAATGAGGATTCCTGTTCTTGTTTAAGAGGCACTCCTCAGTTGTAAGGCAAGTCCCTGCAAAACGAGACGTGTGTAACTGATATACTGAAATCTCATCTATGCCAGGCATAGGGGGCATGAATTGATAAAAATAGAAACAGAATAAAAATTATTGGTGCTGAAAAAGAAACTTTTAATTGATTGGGACCAACTCAGTTGTTAGAGAAGGAATATCAAAGGCTTATCTAGATCCTTCACTAATGCTGCAAACCCTGAAAATCAACTTCTTTTTTTCCATCTTCTAGATTATTTTCTTAGCACCTCACTTCACTTTTTCAATTTCACACACCCTTGCATTACCTGATGTATTAACACAACTCATTTCATTCACTTCCACAACAACCTCAATCACCTCATGATTTATCAAGGTGTTGCCCAATTGTTTTCCTAATTATGATGAGAAAGTACGAAAGTTTAAGCTCTTAAAGTAGAAAGTAAAATATGAATCAGCTTCCTGAAAATAATTGCTAATTAGGAAAATATTAGATTATAAAATTGATGTAGCTCTTAACAAATTTCACAAACTCAGTAGATATGATACTTGATTCCATGCTCATTACCCAAAACTCCACAATAAAGAAAACAAGAGAAACTGTTGTTTGGGGATAAGTAGTAAGAAATCGTTTTATGTTGCTATTAACCTATTGTGTGCAAACATTTCAGGTGCTACCGAAGTGGTAAAGAAATAAATAATTCAATTCAAGTTCTCACCATAAAAAGTTGAACTTGTATCCAGAGACACTACATATGATTCTTGAAAGCTACAGATGGACACGCATCAGATCCAGTGTCTTAGTTACAGAAAAATACTCTCCCTTAGTTCCCAAAAAACTATAATAACTAGATTTACTGGATCCAAATTACTAAACAAAATGGGAAATCAGAAAAAGTGGAGGCATATATTTCCTCATTTATCATGTTTTAGAAACTACTACGATTTTGAAAAACTATTTTTGCCTTCATCAAAAGGTTAAGAATTTCCTATCCTGATTATCTAAAGCAAATGGTGTTAACGTATTTGTGTTTCATTTCCCTCTTTGCGTTTAATATATGTCGTTTAAATACCTGATGTTCTCACATAAAAATCTGTACTTCTAAGATCCTTTGTAGTTGTCTAACCTGGAGAATTCTGTATTATTCTGTTAATGATGGGCTGCATGGAGTAGATCACTACAAGCTCATGTAGAAGCTAACTACGAGTTAATCGCAGACTATGAAGAGAGTTAGTGTTGACCAATTTTCCAGCATGAAGAGTTGAAATCCACAAGAGGAATCAGTATAAGCTGAAACAAAAGTTTATACCTTCTCCATCTACGTGAATGCTTCCACCTTCAAGAATCAAAGACTGGGGAAATCTAGGCAGCTTTTCAATTGTCAGAACCTACAATGGACAAAGTTAGGGATCTAATAGGAAAGTATAAACAACAGTTGCAAGGCACGTTAAACACACAAAGCTTAAAACATGGCTAACCTTTCTAGCGATAAGAAGATCAAGGCTCCAATCCGTATAACAACCTTCAACTATGCCTAGGAAAATTGAACATGGAAACATCAAATATATGCGGATAAGACAGGAGAAAAATATTGTGCAGACTCAGAGTAGAAATTTTTATAATATAGCAGTGATAGGTCCAATAATACTTTGTGTTGATGCAAAGAGCATTCAATTTCTTGATATGTGTAGTGTGTTAAAGAAAAAACACAAAATGAAGCACATGCAAAAAAAAAATAAGACCATGTATAAAAATAAGTAGTTAAGTCATTTGTAAACAAGTTTAACAACATATTGCAGCAACGCATGCTTATATAGCTTGTGTTTGAATCTAATTTTGAGGAGAATAGAAATTTTGGAATAGTGATTGATGTGAGAATGTGTGGTGGAAAAGTGATAAAAAGTTTTTGATTTGTGTAATATTATTTTATTTGGAGAATGTGTAGTTGAAATGAAGAATGAGAATGAGAAATTAACGGGTGTCAAGCGGGGGCATAATTTTGCTCTAGTAAGCGCACATGATGCATATCAAGAAACCGAAAGCTAATGAATATGAAAGGATCCTCGGCCTCCCATCAGGTCCTACTTCTCCTAAATATCAAATCAAATGTAAGACAGTGGAATTTGTTTAATTAGCATCTACCAAATGAATGGCAGATCATTCTTTAACATAATAGGGCCAAGATTCATCAAGAAGTGGAAATACAACAACAACAAAAAACTATGCCTCATTCCTACTGGCTCCATAAATTCTTTCTCACCAGTCAACACATTGTTCAAAATTCAATGAGATCAAACCTATAGAAACCATACCACAGTTTATTAATTTTGATCAACTTTCCTACTCTATAACTCTTATTGTTGAGAATTAGAAATCATAATTCTATTTCACAAAGAACAATCAATTAGCAAAAAGATATAAAGACACAAGATTTGAAAAGGTTCGCCTCATTGTGAGACTACGTTCTTCCACAATTCACTAATATTTACAACAGAAAATCGCACACATATCTTCTCTCTCTCTCTCTCTCACTCTCTCTCTCTCATAATGGTGATTTAAAAGCCTAAGAAGGCTCCCTATTTATAAGACAAATTAGGACAAAACTGAAATAAGAATACTTTGTACTGGCTCCACAACTTAACACCTACACCATCCTATGATACTCAGACTCGAGTACGGGTATGCATCTATGTATTGGATCTTTTATTTTCTGAAACATAGGATATGGGGACATAGTTAAAAAAATTCCAAATTTCGGACACGGGGACATAGTTAAAAAAATTCTAAATTTCGAACACGGGTACGTGGATACGTCTTTCAAACTCCAATTTTTTTCCTACATAAATAAAAAAGTCACTTTGGTGGTCACTATTCTTAAGCCAAGCCAAATGGCTTTATGGCTCGGTTGGGCTAAGCCGTCTAAGCCTTTTTTTTAATTACGTTTGATTCAGTATTTTAAGTTACAAATATTCGTTTTAAGCGATTTAAAATTTGTTGGAAATATTGAAGTGCGGCCATGATAAATATATATATTTTTTGAAAGGTAATCAAATATTTTATTAATCAGTGCATAATACACAGGAAGCGTATTATCAACTTAAATCGGAAAGTAACAACATGAAATTAGGCAACCCATCTATATGCCTAGTAGCTGCAACATTAAACCAAGTATACAATGTAAAATAAAACAATTCCCTAATTTGCTCTATTGTCCGTGATTGGCCTTCAAAACATCGACTGTTCCGTTCTCTCCACACACACCAAACGATACAGTCCGGAATAAGGTCCCAAACAAGTTTGATATCCTTGTTTCGAAACTTTCTCCTCCATGCCTTTAACATATCCTTCATACGCCTCGGTAACACCCAATCCATGTGTTGCGACACCAATATCGTTCCACAGTAAACGAGCAATATCACAATGAAGGAATAAGTGATCAATCGTCTCTCCATCCCTCTTACACATATAGCACCACTCTGTAACATAAAAACCCCTTGTACGGAGGTTATCCACCGTTAGCACCTATCCTCTTACCACCGTCCAAAGTAAAAAAGCCACGCATGGGGGCAGTTTACACTTCCAGATCATCTTCCGGTGGAATAAACTCTCTACAGGACCCAACAAAGATCTAAAATAAGTGCGATGATAAATAAATGATAAAAAAGCCACGCGGCCATGATAAATATATGATCGATAAATTTTAAATATCAAAAATAATTTTACATTAATTGTGAAACGTAAAGTCATGATTGTTTATGTTTTTTTTCAATCCCAACCACATTCCAATGTCCTTTTTTCGAACTTTATTTTCCTATAATTTTTCGTTTAATTCGATATTTCACAATATGAATATCAATTTGAATCGATTTAAATTTTTTTTAAAAAAATTTAAAATGTGATAATAATAATAAATATATTGTTGATTGTTTAAATAAAAATTATCTTAAATTATTAAACGTAAAATCATAATCGTTAATTTTTCTTTTTTACCCCACTCTCAACTAGGGATGGCAATTGGAACTGTTAAAACCGAAAACCGCGGTTAGCTGAACTGAATGGGGCGAAAAAAATCGAACCGATGGTGCAATGGGGCGGTTATGGTTTTGATTTTAATGAACCACTTCATTTAGGGGCGGGTATGGTATTTAACGATGGTGCCCCGCCCCGAACCGATTGCCCGTTAAAAAAAATAATTAATTGGACAATTGGCCTTTCAATTATTCTTTCTCAAAATTAATTAGACAATTTTGATAATTGAACTTCCCAGAATTCTAGCCCAATTAATATTAAGTAAACCTTAACCCAATAGCCCAGCCCAGACGAGCCAGTATTGCCAAGGGTAGATGATTTTGATTTATTGACATGGTGGAAAGCACGTTCAATAAAATATTCGACTTTACAAAAGGTTGCTAGAGATTTATTAGTCATTCCAGTATCTATTGTGGCATCTGAGTCAGCGTTTAGTACAAGTGGTAGATTTGTGAGTCCACATAGAAATATGCTTCACCCGAAGACTTTAGAATCTTTAATGTGTGCTTGGGATTGGCCTTGGACTGATATTTATGGTAGGATTTATTGTTTTATATTTGTTATTCATACACTTTCTTTTATTACTAATTTTTTCTCTATTGTGTGTAGAAAATTTTGTTCCTTCATCGTACTCCGGAGCTTGTGCAAGGTTTAGTGAGTAGGACATTGACGAAGATGTACTTTTTTTTTGTTTAAATTTCCAGTTAAGATCATTCTTGATTAGATAGTATGATTATATTATTACTCTAATTACATTTCTTATTTACTATATAGAAATCAACGTTGAGCATTGATTCTTGACCATGCTAGTAAGAGTTGTGGAGGAAGAATGAAGATTGATCTATACTAGTAAGAGTCTTTGACCTATGTTGATAATGTTGTTTGTTAAATTCAAATTTTGCATTTGGAAGTTGGGATATTGTTTGCATTTTCATTTGGGATATTGTTTGCTAAATTGGCTTAGTATTGTTTTTTGTTAATTTTTTCTTTTTCACTTTGACGTTTGGAGTTTGGACTTATAAAAAATAATTTATTTTCGTGGTTATTAACCGAACCGAACCGACTTACGTAGTTATGGTGCGGTTATGGTATGGCAAAAAATTTGATGGTGCGGTTATGGTTTTGGCCTAACCGACCCCGAACCGAACCGTTGCCATCCCTACTCTCAACCCCTATACTCACACCAATTTCACTCAATTTCATTTTTCTTCAGTTTTTACGGTTAAAAAGGGTAAATTTATGGCGTCAAAATGGATATTGAAGGAACTCGACGATTTTCAGAAGAATCCTCCTACATCATGCAGTGCTGGTAGACAAACATCTTCTATGAATTTGATTTTTTTTAAAATAGATTTAATGTACAGTATCATTAGAACATGCTGAAAAGATATTCGACGGAATTTATGAAGTTAGGTGATCGTTTGTTATTCTTTTTGCCTCTTTGATGGAAGTTTTCGTTGTGTTGTGGTTTTAATATTAATAGAGACCCTTAATTTGTCATAAATTCTGCACTGTAT